CCTCCCGCAGGGCATGGTCACCTTCCGGGTCGGGGACGACGAGGAGCGCTTCGAGCACGTGAGCAAGTGCCTCCTCTGCGCCCGTTCCGTGGTCTTTGGGGGCAGTTGGGTTATTGACATGCAGGGTCCGGGAGAGTGGACGGCGGTCCGCAGAGTGTGCGGCGCGCCTGGTGCGTTGCACTCGACGGTCCGCTTGAGGTCCTGGGTGGGATGCCACTGCATCGTGACCTCGACAAACGCTGCCGCCGGGCCGCGCCCTCCCCCCCCCCCGCCCGCCCGCCCGCCCGGCGGCCCGCGGCCGCCCTTGCCGCCCCCACGCTGCGCGTGGTGCCCATCTGGCACAGGCGCCGCGAGGGCGCAGAGGGCCTCGAGCAGCGTCCCTCGCTGTAGGGCGTCGCTCCCGATCTCGAGCTCGGTGCCGCCCTGCCAGAGAGACACGTGTGAAGAAGTGGGCGTGGCGAGAGGGCGCGCTGGCGCGGGCGCGCCTCGAAGCGGACACGGACATTGCCTTCCTCGCCCTCCCCGAGGACTGTGACGCGCGCGAGCGTGGTCGAGAACTCGGGATAGAAGACCGGGACGACAGCGCCATCATCCGGCGCCTCGAAGACGGAGTTCTCCTCGAGCCGCTCACACTCACCTTCCAGGAGCGTGGCAAGCTTGCCGACGATGAGCGCCGACTTGGTGCCGTAGCTCGTCCCAACCCCTCCCTGCGAGAGCTCGTGGATCTTGCCGGCGATGGCGACCCGCGGCTGACCACCCCAGAACGCGGCGGCCGCCTCAAGCACGGGGCGGCGGGCTGCCGCCAGCTCCTCCGCCCAGTCGGACATCGAGAAACCGAGACGATACGAGACGATACGAGACGAGACGCGACCCTATACGAGACGAGACGATTTTTTTCGAATGGATTTTTCTGAAGGTGCCGCAACCGGCTCTAAATTCTTTTGTTCAAACGCCCCCAGGCTGCGCCCCCCTCAGACAAATTGCCTGTTATTCCTTTTCTAGAGCTCCTGGTAAATTCTACGAGCAGGATTCGGCACTTCAGCTTGGTATAGTACAAGAACTGGCCCCCGCGAGCGTGGAATAGGACCGCCGCAAGCGGCGTGGCGTGGGGCGGTTGAGCATCCCCCTCCGGGGGCCCCTCTGCGCCGGGGAGGCGTTGTTGGCGGCTAGGACGCAAGCGTCCGTCGCCGTTTTTCAAACTCGGGGCCCACTCCGCTACGCTCCGACCCGAATTTGGAGGGCCATGAAATTTAAGGTGTTGCTGCGCAAAAGGGGTGGCGCGCGGGCGCGCGCGGCGGCGGGCGTCGAGCGCGGAGCGGCAAACAAAATGACGTCGGAAAGCTCTGCATCAAGTATACAGTAGGCTCTATAGCACGGAACCAGAGTGCAAAAGAGTGGCGAGGGCCGCGGATGGCGCACGCGTTCGCGTGGGAGGCGGGGCGAGGTGCCGCAACGCGGCGCCGCGCAGCGGAGCGCAGTGCTCAGTCGTGGCACGCGTCTCGACCCAGCCTCACCCACCCCTCGCGGAGCTCACCGGAGCAGGGATCACACCACACAGTCCTCTCCACCGCTGATCGCAGCCGTCGCAGCCAGGCTGGCCGATCAGCCGCCGGCAGCCGGGAGAGGCGCTCGAGCCCTCAGTGCTCCACCACCTCGGCGGGAATGCCCACGGCGGCGAGGTTCGTCACCACCTGCTCGGCCGGGAGGTCGCTGAGGAAGCACTGGCCCTCGCCATCGCCGGGGAAGGTGGCGATGGATGACGCCAGGCCCGCCTTCTTGAGGAACAGCTCGATCGGCGCGACGTAGCGCTTCTCAGACGAGATGGAGACGCAAGTGAACGCGGTCGTGCCGTCGACGAGCCGGGCGCCGTCTGCGGCCTCGAATCGCTCGACTGTGGCGTCGGGGTCGTTGGCGGCAGGGTAGTGGTCGGTGATGAAGGAGATGACATCGCCTGAGGGGACCGTGATGTTGCCGAAGAGTCGTTCGAGGACGTTGACGATCGCGCGCGCGCGCGGTGTGGAGGTTGCAGCCGACGTACCCTTTGATGTCCTTAGCGTCCGTGGTGGAGCCGTAGAGCTTCTGCCCCACCTCCTGGTCGACGGTGCGGTTGGTGCCGTTGAAGAAATGGAGCCTGTCGCCCTCTTCGATGATGCTCTCGAGCAGCCTCGATGCGATCCAGTTCGGTAGCTATCTTGTAGCGCACCCTGGAGGGGAAGGGTGTAGAGGATGTAGAGTGTAGAGCGCTGTAGAGCTGTAGAGATGTAGAGCGCTCTGGAGCGCTGTAGAGCTGTAGAGCTCTACATCCGCCGCGGGACGAGGCGCCTCCGTTGTAAAGCGATGTAAAGCGCGCTTATGATGTAGAGTTTGTTGTAGAGATTTCACGTTGTAGAGCGCCTCTACATCGCTCTACAACGGAGGCGCCTCGTCCCGCGGCGGATGTAGAGCTCTACAGCTCTACAGCGCTCTCCAGCTCTACAGCTCTACAGCGCTCTACACTCTACATCCTCTACACCCTCCCTCAGAGCGCAGCGCATCGTCAAAAGGCAGCTTGTTGCAGGCGTCGCGCGCCTCCCCGAGGTCACGCAGGAAGCTCTCCATATGTGTTGCAATAGACCCCCAAGCCGGTTGTTGCTGCACCGGCTGGACGAATGCAACGGCGGCGTGGTGGGCGGGAGCGGCGGTGGAGCAGGGGGCGACGGCGAGGTTGCGTCCGGAGCCCGGCGGGTCGATCTGCATCGGCTGCACGTCGGCCACGTCGGCTTCTGCCAGCTCTGGCTGCTGGGCGGCGGTCGGCGTGGAGAATGGCAGTCCTGTTTGGGGCGCATTTGAGAGCGCTGGCCCCGACGCGCCGTCGGTTTGGTCGGGGTGGTTCCTCACCCCTGGTGTTTCTTCGTTCCGTCGGGGAGGCTCTGTGCAGGGCGCAGCGAGGGCCGTGGGGAAGGGGCCAGTGGGGCGATGGGCACAGAGGGGGCAATGATCCGATGTGTGGGCAGGTGTCTAGGTCTGGCTGTGTGGACAGCCAGCAGCGAGAGTAGGATGTGCTTAGTACCTGTGCACGAAGGACAGAGGCGGGTCGGAAAGTCGAGACTGCTGACCGCTCCTCCATGGTCCCCCGCCGGTGGACGCCGAGTGCAGTCATCGGTATGCGGGAGGCGTGCTCAAGGGCTGGCGGGGCGGACGCGACGACCTGGCGTTGCCGTCGCGGAGGGCTCGGGCTCGAGTGAGCGCCGCCGGCGACGCGTCGTTGCGGCCGTGGCCGCGCGAGCCACATGCATCGACGGGCTGCTTACGGGGGGGGGGGGGGGGGCGCCAATGAGACGCTTGCCCGTCGGCAATCCATCCGTATTGGCACCAGCTGAAGACTTGCGGCCCGTCCACGGCCGACATCGTCGGATTTGTGCACGGTATTCGGATTTTGCTATTTGCTCGTGTGGGGGTATATTGCAGATTTGTCAATGGTAGTATGGTACCCCGCGTCTGCGACGCGGGCGCCTTGCGGGCAGAGCCCTTAGCCACCCTTTATATCTTGCGCGGTCATCATTGTATCCAAGATCATACCCCAGGGCTATACCCTGATACCCTCTTGAGAGGACCCGCATTGGGCCCGTAGAGGATAGGCTGATACCCTGGTGGGTTACCCTTCACACCGGGACACGACCCCCCTCTTCACACCTCTTCGCGCGCTGCGCGCGGGCCAAGACAGACAACGCGCTCGAGTGAGCGTCGCGCAGGAGGGAGGCGAGCGCACCACTAAGCAATGCGCTGGGCGAGGAGGGCGCTAATGGCGGCCGTCGTCGCGTTTGACGGGCCGCGGCGGAAGCCGGTGCGGCTGCAGCCGCGGCCGCGGGAGGGCTCGGTCCTCGGTGCGAGGTGTGAATTGTCGCTTCGCTGCGCGGCCGCCGATGATACCTTGATACCCAGCCGAGATAAGTCCCCACAGAGGCCTAGAGCATACCTTGATACCCCCTCGAGAAGGATACAATGAATGATACTATACCAAGCTGAAGTGCCGAATCCAGACTCCCCGTACGCGCGCCGCAATTCGAGGAGCGCATTTCTAATAGCGAGTATCAATGCTGTCAATCCCTTTCTCGACTGTCTGATCTGTGCGTCTTTGTTTTTGTACAGTCTGTTTCGGGCATTAAGAAAACGTACCATTAAGAAACCACGCCGAGCGATTTCCGCGAAAATCTAAGAAACCACGGCGCGCCGCAGGCGCGCCGGCTGGCAAGCGCCGCAGGCGCGCAGGCCTGCAGGCCCGCGCCAGTGCCGGGCTGCAGCCGCAGCCCAATACTACGCCTCCGCCCCCTCTGTCGCCTCCCCTTCCGCCTCGGCTGCCCCCGCCTCCCCCGCCCCCGCCCCCGCCCCCGCCTCCCCCTCCGCCTCTCGATCCGCCTCCGCCCCCGCCTCCACCTCCACTCCCGCCGCCGCCTCGGCCGCCTGGGTCCCCTCCTCCCCGTCCGTTACAGTCGGTTGGCGTCGACGACCACAAGGTCCGCCCAACGAGACCGACCAGGTGCAGCCGATTGATCGCGGCATGGGGCGCCAGATCAAAGTCTACCTTGGGCAGCTGCTCGATGAGTGGCTCGACGACGAGGACAACCTCGAGAAGTGGGAGTCGAATACGCTGACGGCCTCGGACCGCCGCATCCTCCTCGCCCACTGGTTCTACAAGGCCTCCATGAAGGCGCTCCAGGGCGAGGCCAAGCGCAAGTACTTCGAGCACGCCGGCGTCCTGCTCACAGCCGACGGCACGGACGACGACCTGCTCATCAAGCTGGAGGGCGCCCCCGCCGGCTACAAGGTGGTGATCCCGCGCTCACTTAATATTTTATTTTCTCACGGAAACACGCTCGGCCCGCCAGTCATGGAGGCGAATTAGCGGGGTCTGTCCGACTCGCTCGCTGCACGGTTGGCTGCGGCGCTCCGGCGCAAGCCGACGCTCGAGAAGTGGCGCCACTCTGCGTGGCTGCCCTCCGGGCTTGTCCTTGGCTCTCCGACATCGATCGAGCACGCCTGTCCGACGAGCGGCTTGCCGTGCGGGTGGCTTTGTGTGGCTCTTGTCGAGAGCGTTTTGCGGCCCGCCGGGTGAGAGAATATGTGTCGTCTGATGTGTCACTGTGTACGTCATATCGGTCTTAATAACAAGCACGGTCGATCCGTCGAAGCGATATACTCGTCACGTCACGCTGGACGGCTTGCACGGAACTCTGTGCCGGCACACACAGGAAGAGCCGTACGGCAAGAAGAGCTCGATAGGGAGCGAGAATCGTCAAAGGTGCTCACGCAGGTTTCGGACGTCCGTCCTGGTGCGGTCAGTTCCCCCCAGGTTTGACCGCGCAGGTCTCAAAACTCGTCGAGCACTCGTAGCCTTTCTGCGACTCTCTGCGTGCTGCCGGCTCGGGAAGAGCAGATTTTGCAAGATATCTCAACGAGATCCGACATCTGCGCGGTCATTTTTGGAGTGATCTTACCGCGTCATGACGGAGTCTTGATACCTCTCGGAGCACCTCTAACGGTTCTCGCTCCCTATCGAGATCTTCTTGCCGGATGGCTCTTCCTGTTTTGCGGGGCGCGGAGCTCTGTGTCAAGCTCGAAGGGCAACGGAAACGAGTGCATCGCTTCTGATAGACCGACCGTGCTTGTTACCAAGACCGATCTCACGTACACAGTTACACTCCAGACGTCCTGTACTCTCCCATCCGACAACCGGCAAGACGCTGTCGTGAGCCAGCCGCTCTTGCGGCAGCCGTCAGCAGAGACCGAGAGCGCATCGGGCGAGTGAAAATCGAGATGGCGAGCCGGTCGTGGGCCCGGACGACGGCGCTGGAGCGACAGATTTTGGCTGAGGCTCCGAGGAGGCGAGAGCGAGCTCTAGAGGTGGATCACGTGTTTTGGCTCTAGTCCAGGTGGGCTAATTCTGGGCTCAGTTGGCTGGGCTGACCTGAGTGCCGGCCGGGGCTAAGAAACCACGGCGCGGGCTGGGGGAGGACGGTGGAAAGGCTTAGAAACGGCGGCGTGGCGCCGGATCCTGTTTTCTTAATGCCCGAAACAGACTGTATCCTATCCTGGTCCAAGAGACCTCGAGACGAGTCAGCGCGTTGCGTGCCTCTCCTCCGGCGAGCTGGTGTGGGGGCCTCGTCCCACCGAAGACCTCCGCCTTTGTCGATGGCATACACCGGTGCCGGTGCGCGCCGCACCACACCGGATCTCGCGGCGGTCCTAAGCGTCACAGACGTCACAGCAGAACGACCCTCACACACCGACACCAATGCTGACACGGGAGGCTGAAGGCCCGGACCCCGCCTGTGGCCCATACACGGCACGCCTCCGTCTCCGGCGCGGCTCTTGATCTTATCTGTCAGCTGCCGGCCGCCGCACGGGCAACCACGCCCGTGCTGGGCGCGCCGGCGCGATGACCTCAACCGTCATCTGCTGAGCGGGCGGCGGTGCCGAACACACCCCGTCGCGCAATGATGCGCCGCGACGTGAGCGGTTGCGTTGCCGGGGCCGCCTCCGTGACGGGCGTTCCGAAGCAGCAACCCCTCCCAACAGCCAAGCAGCCACACGAATGGGCGGGCGCACGGAGGCGTGTGCACCCGCCGCGGCACGGTGGCGCCACAAGAAGAAGGAGGGCCGCACCCCTCCCCCGCCTCCTCCAGCTGCCTCGCGCCCCCTCCCGCAGGCTGAGGCTGGCTGCCACGTCGGCGCATATTGCCCTTCCTACCACACGGAGCGGTGTGCGAGGTCGCGCGAAACCTCGCCGACCGACTACAAAGACTGCTGCAGCGAGCAGGAGGTCGTCGCGGGTGTGGTGCCTGGCAGCGTGAGCCCTCCCCGAGGAGGTGGTGGGGCCGCCGAGTTCGTGGCCGGCTCGAGTGGGAGGGCCTTTCTGCGAACCCGTCGTCGTCGGCTGCCGCGCCGGCGCACGCTCCGCCCTGGCGGCGGAGGTGCTGATCAAGGCGGGCTTCATAGAAGTCAAGAGCGTGGAGGGCGGCATCCGGGCCTGGGTCGCGGCAGGCTGCCAATCGAGCCACGCGTTCGCTGCCCACCGCAAACTTGTCTGAGATTTCCCTAGACGCGCGCGCTCACCGATAGTCGGGACTCTGGGGACAGACTCTGGACGTCTGGAGCGCTCTAAACTGTACGGTACTAGCCTGGGGGAAATTTGTTCATTTTTCAAAGGCAACCTGAAGGAGCTTAAATCGGGACAACAAACTCAAAGGGGAGAAGCGCGAAATACCGAGACCGAGAGGAAGGGGCAACCAAAAGAGAGCGCCGCGACTGCCCTGGCAAGACGCCCACACAGCTCTGGGGGGAGGCGGGGGTCCTAGAGGGTATCCATGCGGGGGGGAGATGGGGTCCCACGGCCCGCCGCAGGCGCCGATTTTTGGGGACTTTTTTTTCTTTTTTGCGCGATTTTTTACTTGTTTTCAAGGAATTCGCCGGTCTGCGGCCATGCTATCACGCCTTGCGACAGCCTGTCGGCGCTGCTGACCGTGCCCTGCTGCACAATTGACCACCTGCATAGCTCGCGGCCTTAGTATCCACCGTTCAGTGACGACCTGATCGTACGGCCAGTAGGAAGGTGTCCTTCCAGCGCGTGCACGCTTCTGACGGAATGCGCGTCACAAACTGCCTCGGCGACTGGCTGCTGGCACTCTCGAGGCTATGCCTACACAGCCTCGCGCGCATGGGCAGTCAGGAGGGACCATGCACCTTCTCCGGACAGCGCCGGTCCCTCTCTCTTGGACCGGCAAACTTGGCGGTCTCGTGTCACCAATGTGGGACCAGTGCGGCGGATCGCGCCATCGACAGCTCTGAACTGCGCCTCACCACTGACCGGGAAGGCCGCCAAGTGGGCCAGCACCGGTCACACATTGTGGCAGCAGTCAGCAGTTATCTGATAGCTAGAGCAGCAGCGTCAGGGTCGCAGGGTTGGATCATGTCAAGCCTCTCGCCCGGCCGGCCGCGTGCAGACGTCGGCCTGTCTGCTGTCTGGAGTGATCTGTCGGCGGTCAGTACGACCGATCAGGTCGGAGTTTTCTGATGGTTGGAGGGTCTATCTGTATGTACTCCTCGAGATCTTTCCAAATCTGCCCTCTGATTAACCTAGCTTAATCGGGAAGTCGGTGCTAGCGGAGACTAGCGGAGCCGGAGCCCCGTTTCCGCACTGCGGCGCGGCGCACGGTGCCTCCGGGGGCCCCCGCCTCCCCCCAGAGCCACACAGTCACACGAAAAAAACCTAGTCCGTATACACCGAGCGCGTAGTCGCTACGTCCTACGAGTCAGCAGCAAAAGTCACACATCAATCAAATGCGCCCAAGAGAACATGTGAGGAACGATAATACAGGTGGTGGGCCTGGCGGTGGGGGCGACGGCGGCGGCGGGCTGGGCGGAGGCGGGGATGGCGGCGGCGGGCGCGGCGGCGGCGGCGAGGGAGGCGGCGGGCTGGGTGGTGGCAGCGAGGGTGGCGGCGGCGAGGGAGGCGGTGGGCTGGGCAGCGGCGGGCTTGGGGGTGGCGGCGAGGGCGGCAGAGGGCTCGGAGGCGGAGGGCTCGGAGGCGGTGGCGAGGGCGGCGGCGGCGAGGGTGGCGGCGGCGAGGGCGGTGGCGGCGAGGGTGATGGCGGGCTCGGAGGAGGCGGCGAGGGTGGCGGCGGCGATGGCGGTGGTGGGCCTGGCGGTGGGGGCGACGGTGGAGGCGGGCTGGGTGGAGGCGGGGATGGCGGCGGCGGGCGCGGCGGTGGCGGCGAGGGAGGTGTCGGGCTGGGTGGTGGCGGCGAGGGGTGCGGAGCTCCGAGGCGGCGGCGGTTAGAATGGGGATGGCGAGGTCAGCGACGAGTTCCGCGCCTAGGGACGAGGGCAAGGGTCAGCTGTCGAGGGTGGCTGTCAAAGCCCGTTGCGTGGTGCCTGAGGGATATGGTCGGAAGGTTGAGGCTTTGTAGGTT